CTGAAGCTCCGTCTGGAGACAACGGGCGCGATGTGTCGGACGGTGACGGAGGCGATGGAACTGGTCTTCGATTACGAGGAGGAACAGCGTCGAAATAACGCCGAAAAGAACGACAGTTACGACGGCATTCCCATCATGGAGGAGGTGGGTTTGAGTTGGAATATTTTTGTGTTGATTATAGTTAATCAGTGGGACCACAAGGCTGTTTACTTTATAGTTAGGGTGACTTAGTGATGGTTTTGCGATGAAAGGGATTAAGCACCAGGCTGCTTTTGTAACTTTATCTAATAGTATTTTTCCCCTTTCTTTTCTTCAACAGACTAGAGATAGCACACCAACAGAACCTATGACAGTAAGTACTTTTTCTCTTATTTTTCTTTCTTTGGTTATGTATTTTATAATATCTGTCGCATATTCTGAGCAGTTAATCACTCTGATTTCGCCACTGAGTATGAAATAATAACAGTCCTTTCTCTCATTTATTCAGGTTGAAGTCCAAGATTCTTTTTTTCCGAGAGACTCCAGCGCCATCTCGTTCAGCTTCGAGCAAAACCCGGAATACTTGAAGTTACTTTCAGAAGGTAAGCATTCTATAGTTCAACCCCCCCCCCCCACCGTGGTATATCACACATGGCTAAACTACAGACTACGCAAATCCCTTTTATTTCCCTTCGTTCGGTTATTAATACCCAGCGTTTCCCTTCGTCAACAGTGGAGGAGCTTCGTCGAGATGTCCTGATGGAGGAGAAGCGTCTCATGTGCCGACAGTGCTATGGCCAGCGAGTGGCAGTGGTGTTCCAGCCTTGCTCTCACCTCCACCTGTGCGCCGAGTGTGCCAGGCCGATGGACACCTGCCCTTCGTGTGGCACCATCGTCAGGGGGACGCTGAGACCCATCATCGGCTAGTGACACAAGAGGGACGCACCGTCGACGTCCGTCATGTTCTCACGACCCGGATTCCAACGGCAAGGAGGAGAGACGCTACGGCAGGTCAGCAGCACGATGGGGGTCTTCTCCTGGGCCTGTCGCGTCCTCAGGAACTCTGGGACGTTCAGGATCCTAGGCATGGAGAGGTAGTTGAGGAGTTGCTTTCACTCTTGGGAATATCTTACGGCGGCGCCCTCTGGACAGGTCGCCTTCCACAGCGTTTTATTCCTTCGGGGTTCCTGCCACAACACCTGCAGGTTCAAGCATTATGGCTGAAACTCTGCTTTAAAGGTTTCCCATATAATGCAGATCTGTTGCGGAAAGACGTTCTGCAAAAACATGAACTTGATTATCTTAATGCAATTGATCGTAAGTTTATAGAACTTAGTTGCATCATACTACATGGTATAAGCAAAGTACCTTTATTGAATAGAACTGATTTATATTTCACCACACTAACTGAAAATACACACTTTACACAAACACAATACACACCTAAAGTGCAATCGTATTTTAAAATACGTTATCGTCTATTCTCTTCTGTCTATTTATCTGTCTTTTCTCAGTTTCCTGTTATTACAGGTAAGTGTACGTTAAAATATTCGATGATGAAAAAATACTTCTACATTCATATAACTAATTACAAAAAGCGATGGAAAAAGCGCGTTCTGATTGTTTTTTTTTTTATAATGCATTTACGTGGTTTAGTAAAAAAAAATAAAGATAATGAGTTTGATTTGAGTTTGATTGTATTGTCCAAAGTTTCGCCAATGGAGACTAAGCTGACCTCCTCTGACCTCTGCCATCACGATCAGGAGCCTACCCATTGCTAAAAACGGAATTCAGACTTGAGAAACTGTTGCCTCACTTTCAATAAATCTAGTTTTAATGAGTTTAACTGCATTGACAAAAGCCAACGTCAGCAAGTATGAAATAAGGTCACGAGTTTCACCAGACTTAATTGACCGAGTGTAACCTCTAACATCACGATTAGCTGACTGCCCTCCTCAGTCCTAATACGAACAGCCTACACATTGCTAAAAAAAAATGAAGGAGACTTAACGATCCTATTCCCACAACGCACGGCGAATCCAAGAAGTCTTAAAGAAAGCAAGGAACTAGGAATCCTAGCTTTGATCTCCTCACGGATTTCTCCTGCGCAGCTTGACGACCTAAACTGAATTCCTGAACTAAGCCAATACGTCACGAGATAAATACTTCAGAGGAACGCAAACTAAAGACGAAAACTGAAACAAGGAATAACCTTTTTTTTTCAATAATCATTCTCTCAAGAACTATGTTTTGTGCTTAACCAGGGAACCAATACCTGATGAATATAAAAGATATAACCCGCACAGAATTACATACGAATATAATCCAGTTCTGCGAAAGGATTTTGTTATCTATTTAACTTGAAGCACATCGAGGTTTCTGGAAAATAATCTGCAAATTCTTGGAACAATGGTTGCACTATAAATAGCACTTTATGAACATTTTACAAATTTTTTGATTATGTATTCGAAAACACTCCAGAGTTTGAAGATTAAATGTATTATTATTATTTTTGTTGTTATTATCATTATAACCATCATCATCATTCTTATTGTTATTACGATTATTTTCATTATACTTATTGATATTATCATTATTGGTGTTGTGTTGTTATTATTGTTATTATCATTGTTGTTGTTATTTTATTATTATTATTATTATTATTATTATTATTATTATTATTATTATTATTATTATTATCATTACTATTATTATTATTATCAGCAGCAGCATTATCACTGTTGATATAAGCGTTATTATTATCACCATTATCATTGTTGTTCTTATTATCATTATCCTACTTCTTCGAGGCAAGTACACTGCAATAAATAGTTAGACCGTCAGTTTCTGCACATTCGTCATTTTCACGACTATCCGAGAGAGAGGTTAATAAGGAAAGCGAGAGGAAAAGGGGATAAGAAAGGGAAACTAAGGAATAAAAGGAGGGAGAGGGAGAAATAAAGAAGAGGAAAGAAGGGGAAGAGAGGGGAAGGAACTTAGAGAGAAGAGGATAGTGGGAAAGGGGAAACAGAGGGGACCTGATGAGGAAAGGGAGATGAGTAAGGGAAGAAGGAGAGGTAATGGAGAAAAATGGGGAATGAGGGAGGGAAGGAAGGGAGGGAATAAGAGAGAGAAGGAGGTGAATGGGTAGAGTAGAAAGGAAAGAGACAGAGGTGGGAAGAGGCAAATGCAGGATTTCAAAAAGGACTGGAGGAGTGAATGAGAGGAGAAGGAAGAGCGGGAAAGGAAAGGGGAAAAGAGAGAGGGGAAGGAAAGGGGAAAGAGGGGGTGAGAATTAGAAAGAGGAGGATGAAAGAGGGACAGAGGAGGGGAGAAATAGTACCACTTAATTTTTCGTTCAGTAGAATTTTATTATTATTACTATTATTATTATTATTATTATCAGTATTATTGTTGTTGTTGTCATTGTTATTAGTAATGATAAAAATAGTAATAATAATGATAAAGATAATGATTACAATAATAATAATGATAATGATAATAATGGTGATAATAATAATAAAAATAATGATAGTAATAATAATCATCATAATGAAACAAAAATAATAGTACTAATAATAAAGATAAAAAAAAACAATAATAATTATTATAATAATATTTATAATAATAATAATAATAATAATAATAATGATAATATTGATGATATTGATAATAATTAAAGTAATAATAAAAATGATAATAATAATAGAAATAATAGTAATGATAATAATATTAATGATACTAATAATAATGATAACAATAACAATTATAACAATGATTATTATAACAATAATAATGTTTATAATAATAATGATAATAATAATGATAATAATAATAATAATAATAATAATAATAATAATGATAATAATAGTAATAATAATAATAACAATATTGATAATGATAGTAATAATAATGATAATAATTATAAGAATTTTTAAAAAAGCAGTAATAATAATAATGATGATAATAATAATAATAATAATAGTAATAATAATAATGAAAATAATGGTAGTAACATAAATAATAGTAATGATAATAATGATAATAATGATGATAATAATAATAATTATAAAGATGGTAATAATAACAAAATATGATAATGATAATAACAATAATAATAATAATGATAATAAAAATGATAATGATAGTAATAATAATAACATATAATAATGATAATAACAATAATAATAATGATGATAATAACAATGATAATAATAATGATGATAATAATGATATTGATAATAATGATTATTATTATAATAACGATAATAGTAATAACAATAATGATAATAATAATAATAATAATAATAACAATAATAATAATTCTGAAAATAATAACCATAATTAATAATGATGATATTAATAATATGATGATAATAACAATGATAATAATAATGATGATAATAATGATATTGATAATAATGATTATTATTATAATAACGATAATAGTAATAACAATAATGATAATAATAATAATAATAATAATAACAATAATAATAATTCTGAAAATAATAACCATAATTAATAATGATGATATTAATAATAATTATTATTATTATCATTATTATAGAAATAATAAAAATAATTAATAATAATAATAATGATGATGATGATGATGATAATGATAATAACAGTAACAATAACAACAATAATAATAATTATAATAATAATAGTAATAATAATAATAATAATAATAACAATAACAATAAAAATAATAAGAATAATAATGAGAATATCAATAATAATAATAATAATAATAATAATAATAATAACAGTAATAACGATAACGATAATAACAATAATAATAATAATAACGAAAATAATTACAACAATAACGAAAATAATAACAATAATAACAATAATAAAAATCAAAACAATACCGGAGATAATACCAACAACATCGATCATAATAAAAACAATAACGCTAATAATAACAATAATAATAAACATAATAACAACAATAACAATAATAATAATAACAAAAATAACGATAATAAAAAAACAATAATAAAAATCAAAACAAAAACAAACTCGAATTCCCAGACTTGGTTTCCATCGCGAGGCGTTCGGTCGGCCTCCCGGAACACTGCAAAAAAAATATCGAATTTCTCTCGTTTTTTAATGGAAATTTGGGTAATTATAGTTTTAAAATGTACTCTAAGTGTGAGTTAATACTTGTGGAAGTGTTAAATGGAAAGTGTTTCGTTTTTTTTTAGTGATAATTTGTGGGTTTTTTTGGTTGTTTATTGTGTGGTTGGTCATCATATGGTCGTGATAAATATATATTTTTTTTGTTTTTTGTTTTAATGGGTAAGGAAATTGTTGTTGTTTTAGTTGTCATGTTGTTGGGATTAAGGTATTTGTTTGTTGTTTGTTGAAAGGAGGTCTAAGTGAGAGAGAGATTTGGTAGAATAGGCTTCATAGATTTTAATTGATTTATAATTATTGTTCTTTGGTTTTTTGTTGTTCTTGTTGTTAGTTTTGTATTTGTTAATATTTTTGTTATCATTGTTATTATTATTATATGATGCCTACCATTTTTAGTACAGAAATATTTCTAATGAGTGTTATGCTAATACTTAAAATTACAGGTATATGTTATATTTATTTATTTTATTTTATTCACTAATGTATTACTTATTATTAAGCATTTAAATAATGTTAAAACAAGTAAGCAAGACTTTGAAACTGAAGAACAAATGACTTTACTTTGAGCAAGTGAGGAATGCAGGTGTTAATGTTTATTTATCTTTTTAATTGACTTTTATTTATGAATCATTATTCTGATGATTGGGAGCTTATTAAAAATTTTGTTTGATGTTTGTTACTCTATTTTTTGTTATTATTATTATTATTATTATTATATTATATTATATTTGTTATTATCATTATTACTATTATTATTATTGTTATTGTTATTATTATTGTTTTTTATTATTGTTGTTGTTATTATATTATCATCATTATTTGTATCTCATATCCATTATCTATTTTTCATTATAATCATGTTCATAATTTAGTTCAATTCCATTTGTTGCAACTGATGTTCTTGGTGTGACATAGTGGGAGAGAGGAAAAATTAGAATATTAGTTATAAACAGCCAATTCAATATTTCACAAACATTGTAAACTGAAAGAGTACACAAAGAAAAATTCAGTAATGGGTAATTATCCGTAATAATCATGAAAGGATAAAGCAAAAGAAAGTTAAGCCTCTGGTCACGGATGGCATAATATCATCCAGTTGAACTGAGTCGCGGATGGCACCGTATCATGACACCTTAGGCTGTTGGCTCATCGGATAGATTTTGTCTTTCTTCGATAATAAGGAAATTGTAGGTGTTTTAATTATTATGTTGTTGGAATTAAGGTGTTTATTTGTTATTTATTGAAAGGAGGTCTAATTGAGAGACAGGGATTAGGTAGATAGAATGGCTTCATAAATTTTAATTGATATATATTTACTGTTCTTTGTTTTTTTGTTGTTATTGTTGTTAGTTTTTGTGTTTATGAAATACAACTATAAGCTGTTGAAATTACAAGCAAGATAGGCACAGAGAAGGGAAACGTCAGTGCTCAAATTACCTTAGTTTGCCTTCTCCTGACCAAACTCATGTTATGAATGCCAATTCTAGTTAATGTCTAGTTAATGCCAATTCTTACCAGTTTTAATTCTAGTATTGGTAAGAGAAAGTTTCATTTGAATGCATCTCAAATTTTACTTCACACCACACGGTTATTTATTCAGTGCTGATGAGAGTGCTATACTAGGCCACTGAGAGCTATGCATATTCAGCAGCTCAAGAGATAGTTTAGGAGAGAAGTAGGAGAAAGTTTCATTTGAATGCATTTCAAACTTTATTTCACACAGTTATTTATGCAGTTCCGATGGGTGTGCTATACTAGGCTAGATACCAAGAGCTATGCATAGTCAGCTGCTCAAGAGATAGTTTAGGAATAAAGGAAATATATAAATTCCCTACTGTATATATGGTTGAAGCATATATGATTTTTATATGAGTTTTGTATGAGTTGGAGGTCACATTTTAGTCCCTAGAGATGGGCTGAGGGAAATTTATGAAGGGATTTTGATATATTTATATGTATTTTTTTTTTTTTTTTTTTTTTTTTCCATTTTTCCCATTTTTCTTTCTTTCTTTTTCTTTTTTTCTCCATCTTCTTCTTCTTCTTCTTAACCACACCCTTTCCATTTCCATTTTCCAGGTTTTTTGGAAGGCAGTAAATTACATCAAAATTTTTACACTACAGGTCTGACATAGTACAAAGCAAGATGGAGAAAGAAGTAACGGAAGTCTACCCAGTCGGGGAAACAGAGGAACAACAGAGTGAAAGCCAGCCAGCGGAAATAACAGAAACAACACCTCCGGAAAAAACAAGTTGCACGGCAGAAGCAGGTAAATTCTCGTTAATTTTTTTCCTTTCTTTCTATTTTGTCTCTGTTTTATTTTTCTTTATTATCATATGTAATGTATTATTGCATGATTCATTGATATATCCAATAGTATATTTCTCTTTTTATTCATTTGTAGAAATTATTCTACCAGTCCACCTGATGAGTTTTATATACTTCAAAGAAATTATTAACTGTATTAACTGTCCATAGAATTTAGTATTTCTGACATTATTAACATCAAGATCATTGTTTTCCATGATTTTCATTTTTTGTGATTTTGTTCCAGATGATGACTTTGTGTGGGAAGATTATCTCGACGAAACAGGGACAATAGCAGTCCCACCCACTGCTTTTGTTCATGTAAGATTGTACAAGTGTTTTGTTTTGTTTATTTATTTTATTTGTGACTTCTTTTGCACTGAAAAAAAAAATGTGAATGAGTATTATATAATGATGAACAAGTTTTTTTTTTATTTATTTTGTTTGTGACTTTTGTTGAACAGAAAAGAAAAAAAATGTGGATGAGTATTATGTAATGATGAACAAGTTTTTTTGTGAATGAATGTGTGTATGTGAGTGTGGGCATGCATGTACGCACACATACCTATTTGTTTGTTTGTGTGTGTTGTGCTCACTGACAGTACTTATATATTTGCAAAGTTGGTAAATGATAGTGCTAATGAATTCACTTATTACAGGTGGAAAAGAGTCTTGAGTCAGGTGTGTTGGAAGATCAGCTGGTCGAAATCGTCCATAACGAATCGTCAGAATTAACTTCGTGTTATTGGCCAGCAAAGGTCGTTACTACGTGTGGTCCTCTCTTAAGGTAAGGGATTTTGTATTTTAGGGAGATAGCTGTGTATGCAGTACAAATATGAGATAGGAAGTTCTTTTCGTTTTCTTTTTTTTTATAGAGATTTTCTGAAAACAAGTCATTGCTTGTTTCTTAGCATCTTATATATGTGTGTGTGGATGGGGGTGGGTGTTGTTTGTTTGTATGTGTGTATTTATTTATTTATTTATTTATTTATATACATACATATTGATACACAAACATAGATAGATATAGATACAGGTATTTACTTATTTATTTATTTATGTCTTTATATACATACATATTGATACACAAACATAGATAGATATAGATATAGGTATTTACTTATTTATTTATTTATTTATTTATTTATTTATTTATTTATTTATTTATTTATATACATACATATTGATACACAAACATAGATAGATATAGATATAGGTATTTACTTATTTATTTATTTATTTATTTATTTATTTATTTATTTATTTATTTATTTATATACATACATATTGATACACAAACATAGATAGATATAGATATAGGTATTTACTTATTTATTTATTTATTTATTTATTTATTTATTTATTTATTTATTTATTTATTTATTTATTTATTTATTTATTTATATACATACATATTGATACACAAACATAGATAGATATAGATATAGGTATTTACTTATTTATTTATTTATTTATATACATACATATTGATACACAAACATAGATAGATATAGATATAGGTATTTACTTATTTATTTATTTATTTATTTATATACATACATATTGATACACAAACATAGATAGATATAGATATAGGTATTTACTTATTTATTTATTTATTTATTTATTTATTTATTTATTTATTTATTTATTTATTTATTTATTTATTTATTTATTTATTTATTTATTTATTTATTTATTTATTTATTTATTTATTTATTTATTTATTTATTTATTTATTTATTTATTTATTTATTTATTTATTTATTTATATACATACATATTGATACACAAACATAGATAGATATAGATATAGGTATTTACTTATTTATTTATTTATTTATTTATTTATTTATTTATTTATTTATTTATTTATTTATTTATTTATTTATTTATTTATTTATTTATTTATTTATTTATTTATATACATACATATTGATACACAAACATAGATAGATATAGATATAGGTATTTACTTATTTATTTATTTATTTATTTATTTATTTATTTATTTATTTATATACATACATATTGATACACAAACATAGATAGATATAGATATAGGTATTTACTTATTTATTTATTTATATACATACATATTGATACACAAACATAGATAGATATAGATATAGGTATTTACTTATTTATTTATTTATTTATTTATTTATATACATACATATTGATACACAGACATAGATAGATATAGATATAGGTATTTACTTATTTATTTATTTATATACATACATATTGATACACAAACATAGATAGATATAGATATAGGTATTTACTTATTTATTTATTTATTTATTTATTTATTTATTTATTTATTTATTTATTTATTTATTTATTTATTTATTTATTTATTTATTTATTTATTTATTTATTTATTTATTTATTTATTTATTTATTTATTTATTTATTTATTTATTTATTTATTTATTTATTTATTTATTTATTTATTTATTTATTTATTTATTTATTTATTTATTTATTTATTTATTTATTTATTTATTTATTTATTTATATACATACATATTGATACACAAACATAGATAGATATAGATATAGGTATTTACTTATTTATTTATTTATTTATTTATTTATATACATACATATTGATACACAAACATAGATAGATATAGATATAGGTATTTACTTATTTATTTATTTATTTATATACATACATATTGATACACAAACATAGATAGATATAGATATAGGTATTTACTTATTTATTTATTTATTTATTTATTTATATACATACATATTGATACACAAACATAGATAGATATAGATATAGGTATTTACTTATTTATTTATTTATATACATACATATTGATACACAAACATAGATAGATATAGATATAGGTATTTACTTATTTATTTATTTATTTATTTATTTATTTATTTATTTATTTATTTATTTATTTATTTATATACATACATATTGATACACAAACATAGATAGATATAGATATAGGTATTTACTTATTTATTTATTTATTTATTTATTTATTTATATACATACATATTGATACACAAACATAGATAGATATAGATATAGGTATTTACTTATTTATTTATTTATTTATTTATATACATACATATTGATACACAAACATAGATAGATATAGATATAGGTATTTACTTATTTATTTATTTATTTATTTATTTATTTATTTATTTATTTATTTATATATATTCATGCACAGGTATTGTACAAAGAAAACCCAGCATGCGGATGGGTGGCGACTGTTATTGACAACGTTGGTGGACGCTTGCTCTTGCGATATGACACGCCTGATTGCTCGGGTCTTGTGTTTTGGCTCTTCTACCTTAGTCCTCGGTTAAGGCCACCAGATTGGATTCATCACCAGGGACCACCTTGGAGGTAAATATTCACAAGAGAGGAAAAGTTAACATAGGGGGAAGGTAGGTAGGATAGAGGGAGGGAAAGAAGGAAGAAGGAGAAAGAAGAACGGGATACAGGGGAGAAAGAGTGGGGGAAAGGAAGAAAGGAAAATAGAAATACTATATCTTATTTACTCAGAGCCAGAAATGAGCATCAGGAATGATAAAGCATGAATATGAAGTAAATAGAAATGAAAAAGTGCTTATGAACATGTCACTCATTACATAATATTATACTGATGTCAGCTTATGTACAGTTTGTTGATGTTTTAACTAGTAGACCTACTTTTAAACTAATATACCTTTATGCTGTTACTTGATTAAATGTAAATAATACTGGTCAGTATTTTACTGGGTATATTATAAAATATGGTCTTATTTTTTTGAAGAGATGCAGATCCAATATATTATTCATATGTTTCATATGTCATTTCACGATGCCACAGATATAAACATCCGGAATCCTGCTCCCAGTACGAGGAGGCGGAGTGGGCTGCACTTCTTGAGATGAGCCGGGATGACGCCAGACGTTCTCCCTTGCCAAACTCTCTCCTCTCACCTGCTCTCCCCGTGAGCTCGCACCAATTCACAAACAGCATGCTTATTGAAGCAGTGCACCCCACAAAGCCCAACTCAATCCACGTGGCCAAGGTCACTCTAATCAGCAATGAGTCGAGATTTTTTGAAGTGTCGATCGAAGGCGAGAAAGGGGATAACAAGGTCACGTGGGTGACTTCCATCGATGACCCTCTGATCCTGCCGGCAAGATTCTGTGAGAAAAACGGCATTGCGCTTGTCCCACCTGGCGATTGGCATGGAGAGACAGAGTTCTGCTGGGATGCCTACCTCCAGTCTTGCAGTGAACCATGTGCAGATGATAGCTTGTTCCCCAAGCACGAGGCAGCTGAGGACTTAGGCTTCGAGGTTGGACTTAGACTCGAAGCCGCCAATCCGGACCCTGCAGATCAGATTTGTGTCGCTACTGTCAAAAAGGTCACAGGTCACCTCCTCCACGTCCAGCTGGATTCAGAACTTGAGACGGATCCGTACATCATGTCCTCAACGTGTCAGGATATCTTCCCAACAGGGTGGTCTCAGTCAAATAATTATCCTCTCCATATCCCTGCAGAGTATTCACCACAAGCTAAGGTCATAGAAGATCCGACACTGGTAACTATTGTTCTTTTATTCATTTTAAATTAGAAATAAGATTTATCCAGTTTTGATGACTGAAACAGTATACTTTGTAATTTTCTCTTGATACAATTTAAAAAAATATGATAATGATAATCATAAAATCACATATCCACAATTTTTTTTACAGGAACTATGCCAAAACAAAAACGGTGATAATACACAAAATGATCCCTTGTCTAGTGTAAGCAACCAAAGGTCCCTGTGGTGTCCAAGACTCTATGTGAACCATTGGTGCTACACTGGACCTTATCTGAGCAAATCTAAAGTTGGTAAGTACCCCTCTTCATGCTATTCCATTTTATTACAGGATTTGTAATGTTTATTGCCATGAATTAGTAGTAGTAGTGTTAATGAAAAATTGATTTGTTATAATTGTATAATAAGTCTATGAAAATGAATTGTCTATTCTTCAGCAAAGCAATCTCAGAGTGTTGGTCCGGGATCTGTTGAACTGGTACTGCGTGAGGTACTGTCAATGACCATAAACGCAGCTTACATACCCACTCGTGTGCTGAGAGAGCTGGAACGCAATGCTGTGGATTCTCATCTTGTTTCAAGTACTTGGCATCCAACCCATTTGAAAGCAAAGTATGTAACATTCAGTGAAGTTGATCTTAAAATCCGTGCTGTAGATTTTCAGAATAGATTGAGTTGTTTATTGTTTTCATATTTATCTTGGATTATGTTGATATGGAAGTGTATATAGAGTTTTATATGAATTAGTGGAAATACCTTAAATAGAAACAAAAAAGCCAGATATGCATAATATTTATTACTTAAATATCTTAGACTTATTTCTTCTCAGACATCTCAAGAACAATACTTGTAATGGAATTGTGTCATTTGCTTGTATCTTTTTCTTTTTTTTTCTTTTTTTTTCCTTATGAAAGAAAATTGACTCCTTTTTTTCCCCTCCATATATTGATCTCTTCTGACTACTTATTTTTCTTTGCAGGTTTAAACGTTATACTTACACAGCCAGCATCTCTGTCGCTACCACAGCTTCAGACGTCAGCGATTTTTTGAACTTCATTTGCCACACCCTTCAGTGCTGCCCCAACCTGTGGTCACCAACACAGAGTGGAGAGAATTGCCCATTCCTTTGTACTTCGCAGGTAAAGTTTTACACTTGGCACTTGAAAATATTGATGGTAATCAAGCAATAAACGGTTTTGTATAAAGAATTAAAGAATAAATTTGTAAGTGGATAAAGCAAACAATTGTTTTTAAAAAATGTAAATAGATAAAGCAGACAGTTGTAACCAGACCCCCCCCCCCAAAAAAAAAAATAATAAATAAATAAAAAAAATAATAATAAATGACAGCATCAGAGGGCCTTTCAGTGGAAAAATTATTTAATTTCTTGTCAAAGCAGTTTGGAAGTTTTAAGTTGCATAAGTTATTACAGTGAAAACTGGAGGAATTAAAGTGTCATCTGTATCTCTGTTTATGGTTTTAGAATAAAGGAACAAATTCAAGTGGATGCAGTGGAGTTAAATGCAGCCTTTTTAACATGTTCACAGCCTATAAATGATACTGGGTTGCATGCCCTCTTCCCTGATGTAGTGTTTCTCCTTGAAATCAGGCAGGAGTGTCTTTACCATAGGTCATTCCATATGTTAGTGTGAGGAAACTTGTCTTGCACTAGTATTGCATGGTATGGGGGAAAATACATGGGGAGTATAGGGGAAATAGGAGGTTAGGACTGCACTATTGTTGCACTTTAAATGTAACTGTATGAAGATGTTACAAGAAGATTATTAATGAAATTATGGAATATTTTTTTTTATCAATTCGAATTATTGGTAATATATTCAAAGACTTCATTATTCTTTACAATATTCTTTACTTATAGGCTTTCAATTAAATCTCTCTCTTCATTGATCTTGAATCTTAACAGTATTAACAGTACTTTTCCTCTGGATTTTGTGATGAGGTAGACTTTTTTTCTTTTTTTTTCAGATGTTTATTCAAGGGAGCCAGTCGTCTTCCATGCGAGGGCGAGGGAGAATAGCCATTACTAGAGGGACAAGGGGAGGGCCAGGAATGACGAGGATATTCCACCGACGTAAGAGAGGCGGCCGTAAGCGACTCTTTGTGCCTGTCAGAGCCAACCGGTTACTGCAGCCCAAATCCTTATCAAGTAAGTATGATCATCTGTTGTGGTATATTGGGGAGGGTTGCTTTTGTCACTGATGGTCATCATAATTTTTAATTTTCAAGTAATTTTTCTTGATTCTCTCTTATCATGGTAGTTTTGATATATACTTTATGTAATGCCTGTTTCATGTTTTTTAGATAATATCTTGACAACCATGTTAGAAAATTAGTATTATGAATAAACACGAATTATTTTCTTTATCACCTTTAAGGACCATATCTCATATTGGCACTTACTCTTCCAGCACAATCAGATGATATAACAGAAGATGGGGATGAGGATGAGGATGTTGATATTGAGGAAGGAGATGATGATGAAGTTGCAAGTGGATCTGACGAAGGTGACACGAGTTCCCGCAGCTCTCGCCCAACCAGCCCCATACTGGACCCCTCGTTCGGGAACCGCAGAAGGCGGAGAGGATTTCCGAGGATGGAGATGCAGACGAGAGGCATTAAGCTCCCTGACTATGCCAACCAGCTGAAGATGAGGCATGTCAAGAGAAAATTTGAGGGCGGAGAAGGATCCTCCAGCGCTTCCAGCTGCCGCGAGGAGCCCTTAGACAGGATGAAGAGGAGCAGGAAGAGCGAGTACCCAGACGGAAACTCAGGGCTAGAGCCTGCCTCGGTGACCTCTGACCCCTTGGAGTGGACAGTGCATGACGTGGAGCAGTACGTTGCCAGCCAGCCGGCCATCTGCCACCATGCAGTGCGACTACGGGAACAAGAGGTGGACGGCCGGGCCTTCCTGCTCTTAAACTTACCCACGCTGGTGCAGCACCTCGGGTTGCCTCATAGCTCAGCCGTGGCTCTTGCTCAACACGTGTGCCGCGTAAAACTTGCTCACTTCCTTTTCTTTTATAGGGCAGAAGCTTGACCATCATTTTTATATAAAGGAATAACTTTAATTAACTAAATGTTGTGCACAGTTTTCAAGTGGTCTTTTTTTTGTATATATAGTATATTTGTATAACTTTGTATTATATGAATAACATAATGACTGTTAAATATTGATAATTAGTTATATTAATTACTTTTATTGTAAGTTAAGCTATTCATTCCTGTATATTGGAATATCTGTTGTGCTTATTGTTGATGCTATTCACAATAAAATAAATATATGTAGAAAAGCAATTTTCTTACACATTTTGTACTTACAAATTAAGTAAAAATTCAGAATACCAGGTGAATGCTTTTGAAATTCTAAAATGAAAGCTTTCCTTTTAAATAAAGAATACAATGTATACTTGTCATTTTAGATTCTTACTTTTATTACATCCCTTACTGAATGTACTGCTACGACATCAATAAAAAAATATATATTATTATAAATATATTTACTGTACATATATACGTCACTCACTTTTATGTACAGTTTACAAATAAATGCAAAAACCTGTAATTTCTTAGAATACTTTGATCTAAACGTAATCAGGAATTGATCATGGTCATTTCAACAATAAAAATCAGACTCATGGTATTATAAATTTTCTTGGTGCATGATTACTTGATATATGTATTTCATGAATCAGTTGGATGTCATTGAAAAAATTATTAAATTCCATGTTGATATATATGAGCTTTATCTTTTTTAGCTAATTAGGTATTAATTTAAAAAATAAATTACCAATATTTTTTCTTTCTTTCTTTTTTCCTTTCTTTCTTTCTTTTTTACAAATATACCACATCAGACAATATTTTGATTTTGATAATTCTGAGCACTGGTATTGCCATAGGATTTTTAGATAACATATTTTTTTTTTTTTTTTGATAATAGAAAATGTTAAATAGACAGGGAGAACCTTTGGGAATTATGTTAAATAAAATACCTTTCAAAACTTTTTCAAACAAACATTTAGGGTTCAGCATATGATTCTGATAGTTTCATTTTAACCAAAACCTGCTGACTTTACCAGCAAGTCTTCTCCTTTAGATTAAAAGTATATATAATCTCTATGAGGACAGTCCAACTTTTTCAACACTAAGCAATTTTTAGTACCTTATAAATCAAGGACCATATTCTTTAAGGATAAACTACACAAACACAAACACACTGATGTCACAGGGAAATTAAACACTGTAGAGGGAGAGTTTCTTTAATAAACAAGGAAGTTAAGAAATACAGTAAATACAATTTGTGTGAAACAAATGCCGAAAGTTGCCAAATGACTAGAATGTTAAATAATACTGATTTAAAATTTACTTAAAGAATACAACATGTATATTACAACTGCCCAAATATGAAAAGAATTACTTCTGTTTATATCATTTTTTGTGATCATGAGAGGGAATAGAAAAAGAGATAAATCAACAAATAATGAAGTGGTAACACCATATACACCCACATACATATACATACATATAGAAATATAAATGCATACATGTTTCCCTGCTGATGATTTTTTCCCCCAAAGCAGCTGACTGTGTAACGGGCATGTGGTTCAGCTTGGTGTGTGAAGCTTCCATCGGTAATGCATTGATCATTATTCCACTCAGCTGCCACAAATATTCATAATTCTATAGTCAGATGTTTAAGAGAGCCAGATATGTTACTCAGACATCCATCAAACTGGTGACTTACTGTATCTAAATATATATATGTATGCTTGTATGTATGTATATATGTATATACCTTTAAACATATAAACTCATGATAATAGGAACATGCAGACTAGCTACCCTCATTCAAAAAGTGTTCAGTCAATATTGTTCATTAGGTTTCTAAATCCAATACATTATATGGGAAAAAAGGGAGATTCTGGTTATCCTTAATGTCTTTTTTTAACCTCACCATCAGATCTTTACTGGAAAATAATTTCTATATCTTAATATATTACCTTTGTTAAATGACAAGTTATATGGCACAATTACCTATCATTTTACCTTATTTCAACAAGTAGGAAGAAAAGTTTTTACACATTACGGAGCATATCAATATACGAGTTATTTAAGGCCTCATCATTAAAATCAACAGTGCAATATAATGGTCTTTGTTGGGAAATTCTTGAGAAACAAAGGGTCTTATAATGTCTTACTTGCATTTGCAATTTTGTGGCATGGGATGTGCACTACCTTGGGTTTCCATAAAGAGAAAAGAAGAAAAAAAGGAAGAAAAAATGCACATCCCGGCAAGGAACATTAATTATACATTTAACCATTTCCTGAGAGAAGGAGAGAGAGAGACAGGACAGAGAAATCATACAAATCAAATACTAACAAAACATGTCTTTTTGAATTAGATCCCAACATATCTTTGGTAGGAGGAACAGCAGACCAAGGGTAAAAAACACTTTCCATCTTTAAGCTTAATCTCGGTAATTCCGAACTTCAAATCAATCTACCGGTTTGAGTGTGATGAACCTAGAGGCAATGAGCGACACCAAGATCGTGCCGACGGTGAAGCACCCGGCAAATATGTACCAGGTCTCTTCGTCGAACATATCTGTAAAGGCTGGAACGCTGTCGTACACTTTATTGACAATGCTGAGGGTAGCCTCATATTTGCGCTGAGCTTGGGTCGACATGTTGGCTTTCAAGTTAACTCAAAATTTTCTAGTCTGTATTACTGTATTTCTTAATGGACCCCCAAACAGGCACTAAGCCGCAACCATATGTACAAAAGGATTTCCTATACAAGTCGATATATGTCCTACGTCCTTCTCTTGCCCTGCTTTGTCGTCTTGGCCCCTTTCGCTGGGGTTGAGCTGGACTCTGCTGCTTCGGCCTGACTGCTCACCAGCTCGTTAAATTTCTTGAGTATTTCCACCGTCTCGAGATATTGGGTCTTAAATAGTATTTTGTGACCTGAAGCTGGAAAGACAGAGGGATGAAAAAATTAATGCGTTAAAGAAGCTGGACTTTTATCATTAGAGAGAGAATACAATAAGTACAGGCATACTATCGAAAATTAAAACACTGGAATTATTAAATATTTATAATTAGTATTATTAACAAGATAAACAAGGTGAAACCACGCCTTCTATGATATAAAATGCCTATTCTGTTACATTTTTAAGTCTTGAGGCACTAACATGGATAAAATATGCATAACTGACAACCTAACAAATAAAATTTGTTTTACATATGTCTATTACTCTATCAAATTAACATATTTTAATAATGCCTAACAAAATTTTGGACACTTTTAAAAGCCAAAAAAAACAATAATAATAATATTTTCTATTTAATTTATCTATATCTACTATACCTATACACATTAAGATTAATTTCAATACTTCCAATAAATCAATTCTAAAAAATGGGAAAAATGAAAAGTAATTGCTAAAACTACTTTTGTTGCAGAGCCTTAAGCAGGACAAGTAAAAGAAACGGCAATCTTACCAAGAGTAATGTTTATCGTGGGCTCGGATCTGTCACAAACAACGGTGGTCTTCACAGCGCAGTTTGGGTTGGTGTCACGAACCCTTTCTTGATTGAAAAGACTAAGAATGCATCTGAAAAATTAAAGATTGGTTGATGATTTCTGCTAATGTATGAGGTTTAACAGATGCAATTCAAATTCAATTATTCTAAAATTTCTCTCAGGAAGAGATCTAGCAATTTATTTCATAAATTACCCTATTAATAAGAATTTGAAAGAAGCATCTTAAGTGGCATCCAAATCTAAGAATAATCCAGTAAAAATGGATAAAAGATGAAGCAAGCAATTTAATTAAGATAAGGCTTTTTTTTCTTATTCTAAAAAAGGACACATTCCATATACAACAAAATAAAAGAACAACTCAAAAAAGATACTTTAGCCAGGTTAACCAAATTTTTCTTTAGTCGCAATGTGAGACAGGGAACAAAAATGAAACTAGGAAGAAACTAGGATACTTTTGTATAATTTTGTCCATATGAAAGGAAACTCTAGAATAACTTACATTGCAAAATATACCTATGATATATTTACCTCAGTATAAAATGCAAAATGAACCTATGATAGATATACCTCAGAATAAAATAGGGTTCAATATCAATAATGCATAATTCTTCGCATTGTACAAGTTCTTTTCCTTTTACCAAGACTCAAATAAGCAATAGCACTGCATCACCCCCTGCGACTTCCTTTTAAAGAGACTCCAGCCATCAAGCCAATAAGCCAGCTACCTAAATTCACTTAAAATTCACCCAATGTTATATCTTGGGGAGGCTTGGCCCCTTTGAAACTGTTCCTATCGACCGAAATTTAATCCCAAAGAGGATATATCACAAATTGCTGAAGTCGGGACTTTTCTTATCAATTTGCCATTATCATTCGCTTCAGAGTAGTTAAATACATATAAAGGTAATTGTTATTTTGCTGCTTTTGTAAGCCACTATTCTTTACTTTTGTCCACCTTCACACTTTCCTGGTATTACATATCAATTACAAAAAAATATAAAAATAAAATACGATAAAGTTTGTTAAAAAAAATAGTTCTATGAAGGACTAAAAGAGCCTTTCTGGCATGGATACATCCTGTATATATTAACCAAAATTTCTTATATCTAGAAATATATGCCAAAACTGAGTTCCTCCTCTTTTAGGCTAAGTTACCCCATTTACTAACTTTCCATAACATCTCTGAGAAGAAAAAAAAAAACATGACCAAGTATATTTCTGTTGAATTTAGACATCTGAACTTCTTGTAACTTCTCGTCAAATTTTTAAATCCCTCTTTTACTTCAAATACCCTTTTTGGGGGGCATTTAATTTTTTCTTTTTATGTTTATGGATTTTCTTCTTTTAATAAGACAATACCATAAGCCTCAGAAAATAAGAATAATGCATGACAATAGCATCCCCACGCACGGACAATTTCGGATAGGCGTGTGTTTCTTCAGCAAAGAACTGGTATAAATTAGGTTTATATTTATTAAAACATTTCCTTTGGTGGGCTTCGCGGTCAAGTCAGAATAAGTTAGGCCAGGATAAAAATATTTTGGGCTAGAATAAATTGGTTTCCATTAGAACGAGTTAGGCTAGGTTAAGACTAATCTTGGCTAGCTTGTATTAGGTTAGGTTAAATTAAACTGATATAGGATAGAATACATTCGTTTAAGTTAGAATAAAGTTAGGCCAGGTTAGACTAATCCAGGCTAGCTTGGATTAGCTTAGACTAGGTTAGGTTAAGTTAAATTATTTTGGGCTGGAATTAATTGGTTTAGTTTAGAATGAGTTAGGCTAGGTTAGATTAATCTAGGCTAGCTTGTATTAGGTTAGGTTAAGTTTGATTAAGTAAAACTGATTTAGGATAGAATAAATTGGTTTAAATTAGAATAAAGTTAGGCCAGGTTAGACTAATCTAGGCTAGCTTGGATTAGATTAGACTAGGTTAGATTAAGTTAAACTGATTTAGGCTAGAATAAAGTCAGATACTGTGCTTGTCCTTGCGCTCGATTCATTTTTATTACCTATTTGTCTTCTCTTTCCTTTTATATATTATCAATTTTAACCTTCATGCTCAGAAGAAAAAGAAAAAAAAATGTTTAATGAAGTATATGACAAACAAATACATTTTTAACTGAGAGAATTCCATAGAAGTAATTGTCGAATATTCAATCATCTTCGGGAAAATGTTCGTAACTCATTATACTCTTCTCCGTTTGTCAAATTCTGCCGTAAACCAGTTTAATGAATTCTTTGTATAAATTACG